TCTTTCCCTGCAGGATGTAGCCAGGTAGAGGTTAGAGGTCAGGGAAATTAAGAACATCTTGGCTGACTCTTCTCCTATTCCATCAGCCCAGGTAATTTTTAACTCTTCTGTAGTGGAAAAAGAACAAACACTGCAAGTATCTTCCAAATCTACTGTTTAGGGTTAGCTTTCAGTTTTCATATTAAAAAGAAATGAGTTGAATTTATTGCTATCCTCTTTATGGATAAAACTTTATCCTGTCAGTTGTGATTCATTAAGAATCTAGGATGGCCCAGCCAGCATGGCTCAGTTAAGCATCGACCTATGAACCAGGAGGTCAAGGTTCAATTCCTGGTCAGGGAACATGCCTGGGTTGCAGGCTCCATTCCCAGTGGGGGATGTGCAGGGGGCAGCCGATCAATGATTCTCTCTCATCATTGATGTTTCTATCTCTCTCTCCCTCTCCCTTCCTCTCTCATATATATATATAATTTAGGATGGAGAGAGAAGCCCAAAATGGTAATAAAAAATTGCTAGAGAAATGGACACTCACCTAAGAAAGTGACCAGGAGAAGGGCAAGAAGAGAGCAAAGCATAGTTTAAACCAGCCTTCAGTTCCATTTGTCTGTCTGACACCCCCTTACCTGGCCAGGCATATGGCTAGATTCCTCCCTCTTGGAGGCCTGCTGCCGCAGAGCAGAGGGATAATATCCTCACATTTCAATATATGAATGACTTGAATATATTAAATGAATAAGCAGCATTGCAGATAGGGATGGAGAACGAGGAGGTATTTTTCTAAGGCATCAGCCACATGGAAGGAGCGCCAAGCTATTGAGTTGTGACAGTGATCAGGGAGTCAGAAGCCAGCTGGCTATTCTGATCTGTCTGATATTTCTCTTCACCCTCTAATCTGCTGAGCCATCTCTAGAGAGGAAGATTGTATTGGACTCTCTGCTTGGTGATGACACTGAGCCAATGCAGCTGATGAGTGACATCAGCTCTTCTGGGCTATGCAAGACCCACATGGCCTTTGCTGGTGTGAAATGCCAGCCCAATGGGAGCACGGCATGGTTCCATCAAGAGCAAGAGCAATTCCCTCCTCCTTGTATCTGCTGCCATCTCCTATCTACCCTCCCTACACCCCCATTCCCGCTCAGGACTAAGTCAACAAAAATTCTAGGAGCAAAAAAAGGAGGACAAACAGAAAGGGAAATAAAAGGAGAAAAGAGGTTGTCTGTGTGTATGTGGGCACCCATCATCTTGGGCTGACTCCCATAATGAGTCCTATTAGCAGATTTCTAAAAACTGAGATTGAACAACTGCCAATAGCTATTTTTCATCATATGTTCTAAATGCTCAGGGGATGCATACTATGCTTACCACTTGCTTTGTCATCTTTTAAGTAAATATTATAAGAGGATTCATTAAATTTGGAAAGAATAAAACAAACACTCTCCTACAAATATAGGGCATTCAAATACAAACAAAAAAGGTGCTCCAGCAGAAACTCTGTTGGAAGCAAGAATCCCAACACTAACTTTGAATTGTTAGCATCAGCAACAATAACAAATACATCACCAGACACTGATGAAATGGGAATGGACTGCAAATTCCTGGCTTGCTTCAGGCTCATTCTCCTTGTTAGGCCACTTCTGCTGAGACTGTTTCCCAGGTACTCATCTACACCACTTTACCATGTCCAACACACACTGAGTAATTGTTTTGAAAAGGAATCCTCAGAGGACAGAGCATGGCAAAGGCAGAGAGAAGGGGAAGTTCCCAGGGATACGTTGGCTGTCCTCCAGGCATCTTGGGTTCCTATGTCTCATTTCAACAGAATGAGGTTATACCAGCTGCTTAGTAGATTCTCATCCTTAGCTATTATAAATTGATGGCCGGCAATGATCCTGATGTCTCTGTCATCCCCTCAGTCCCACCCTCCATCCTACCACACTATAAACCTTCTACAATTTGCTGTAAGCACAGGCTTTCCCTGAAGTCTAAAAAACAGCCAACACTTACAGTGCATACAGAGCACCAAGGAAAGTGTATCTTTCAACCATCTATAGGTATTATAATCCTTATATTAATTTCACAGATGAGAAAATTGAAGATCAGTGTTTGTTGAGGTTTCCTAACCAGCACGAAGCGGAGTTATGGTTAGAACCCAGGTCTATTTGGCTCCAAGGCCCCAGAATGTGTCTCCACCTCACGCTGCATTAAGAGGACAAATCAGAGGCACAAGGAACACAGAGTCCAGCTTTGATCAGTTTGGGAGTTGATCTAGCCATCCAGGTCTCAGATCCTGTCGGCTAGGATGAAGAGCATGCAGATCCTTTGGTTGGATGTTACAGCAGCTCTCATCCTTCCCTCAGAGCTGAGCTTTTTTGCTTTGAAAACACTGAAGACCTAAATCCCTTGAGCCTTGATTTGGCTTTTTTTCCAGCTACCCAGTGGACATGTCCTATATCTGGTTTCCAACTTCAGATAGACTAAAATCACGTTTCACCATCCTGCCAGAATCACAGTTTCTCTGGTGGTTAGTCTTGGTGGTCTCCTGGGGGAGCCAGAGAGTCATCTCTTGTTTACAGGTAGCTCATGAGTCATTAAATCTATTTACATACCAGGACTACAGCAAGATTTTAATACAGATACCAGTGCAGGGTAAAGCTGGTTCCCAGGGATGGTGGGGGTGATTCATCACACACTTAAAAGGAGACTGGCCTCATTTCCTCCCCAGCTTGAAGGGAAATGATCCCTCTGCTCTGTGGCCACAGATCTCCAAGAGGGAGGGGCCTGGCCACCTGCCTGGCCCTGTCTACTAGGCTTGTTCAACTGAAGGCAGTCTTGAAACATGCTCTGCTCTCTCCTTGCCCTTCTCCTGGGCACTTTCTTAACAGGTACTCTCCTCTCTGGTAAGCCTCCCTTCAAGTCCTCACTCTCACTCAACCCCGTGAATCCCAAGCCTCAGTTATTGGTTTGATTCTCTTTACATTCCTTTAATTGTCTGGAATGAATATGGGACTTTATGACTGGTGTGCTGGGTCTTGGTTACCTCTGTCTCCTGGGAAGGCATTTGCTCTCTGGTGTCCCCTTGCCCACTGACCCACTGCCCCCTTGGCCCTCCCAACCTACTTCCTGGGGTTGATCCCATATTCCTGAGCCATGGAAGGGCTTGAGCCACCCCTCTGTCTGGATGGAAGGCAAGCTGGGCTGGATTCTTCACTCCAAATGGCCTTTTCCACTCCCCACAGGTGTCGGAGCACAGACCATCCATCAGTGGCCATCTACCAAGGTGAAGCTTAAGGGGAGCCCACTCTCCCTGGAGTGCACAGTGAAGGGGACATCAAGCCCCAACCTATACTGGTACCGGCAGGCTGAAGGAGGGGGCCCTCAGATGCTCTTCTACTCCATCACTGCTGGCCAGGTAGACTCTCAGGCGCCCGAGAACTTCGAAGCCTCCAGGCCCGAGGATGGCTACTTCATCCTACGTTCTAAGAAGCTCCTGCTCATCGACTCTGGCTTCTATCTCTGTGCTTGGAGTATCACACTGAGCTGTGCGGGGCAGACCTCTGTGCAAAAACCCCGCCCTCCCCTGAGTCCTCACCACACTCCCCAGGAGCCCTCACTCGGGGACTGGGTGGAGGGTATTTGTCACTGGGTTTCTCATGGTCAGCCAATGTGAGAGCAACTGAATCAAGGCAGGTTCCCCAAAAGAACATTACTAAGTTCTCAGGGAGAACAAAATGATTTACATGTGCAGAACCTGTGAATTTCATCCACAGAGTCAAGTTCCCAATGTGGGGATGTCTAGCCCGTGGCTGCCATACTGCAGTCCTCAGAGCGTGCTATTTTCCCTGACTGCGGTTGGTCTGCACTGGGGAGTGGGCTGGTACGCATGCAGGTGAGAGAAGAAGCATACACCTGTAACCGGGTGTGGTGTGGTGGTGGACTGGTGAACAAATAGGAAGATGCCAACTCAGGTGACTCACTTGGTTAATTTTCATCACCCGGACAGTATCTTGTGGAGGCTTGGATGAGACCTGAGCCAGGGAAGGACAAGGTGTTCGTGGACTGTTCTCATGTGGCTACAAATGTGCTTCTGTCAGTATCAGGAATGTGCACTTAGAGATTTTGATTATTGTTTTGCATTTCAGGCTTTTTAAAAATTCCCATTCTATTGTTTCTCATCCCTTCCCCTTTAGCAAAGGAGGGAGCAGAGAAACAGGTGGTAATCAAAGAAAGGCTAAAGGAGAGGCACGCCTATGTGATGACAAAGCCCTAAAAGAGAGAAATTACTTGGGTAGGAATGAAGGCGAGAAAAGGTTTATGGAGATGACTGGAAAGAGATGCTGCAGTTACCTTGGCAACGGAGCTTCCTTCCTCATTCCTCCGTCATTGTCCTCATTCTTCTCAAAAAGCTTTTCTTTCATAATGTCACTTCTGCTCCACGAGGGGGCACAAAAAGCCTTAAAATATTCTTGTTTCTGGCATCACTTCATTAGGACAATTCAGACATATTTATTTTCAATAACATTCACTCTGCCGAGGAAAATCTGAGACAGAGACACTAGTGATCAAGACAGTATTTAACAGTGCCCAAGGGTTCCTATTGTACCGTCAGGATCAGCTATGTATCAAGCAACTATTGTGTGGTGGACACTCTGAGCCATCACAAGGATTAAAAAGCAAAATAAAGTAATTCAAGTTGGGGCTGGGCATGGCCACAGCATGGTTTCATCAAGGCATTTGACTTACCTTTTTGTTTCTCTCTGTAGTGCTGTGATCATAGAAGTAATTTACAACTCACTGAATAGTAAGCAATGCCTCAAGCTAATGTTTAGGCATTAGCTGATTTTTGAATATTAGCAGAAACAGATCCCTCCTGGAAACACTGCTGTCTGATTACTTTTAGTTAATAGACTCTGGTATTTCAAACAGTTTTAGATTAACATAAAAATTGAGTGGGTAATAGAAAAAGTTCTCATACATGTCCCTTTCCTTCCTAGGCCTCCCTTATTATTAACATCAGGGGTAGTGGAAGGATAGTTTCTTATGCTTCATATGCTAACTTCTCTCTTCTCCCCCTGGAAGCCTTGCTGGTCTTTTCATCTCTGTATTTTTAAGGCACTGGGTTTTTGAGTCTAAATTTACCAGAAGTTTTAACATTGGGCTAATTATCTAATCTCTCTAGGCCTCATTTCCTTCATCTGTCTAACTTCCCCTATTGGAGTGTTCAGTGTATTAAATAAGATGGTGCTCACCTTATAAAGCCCTATTACAGGGTCTAATTGTCGACAGCTAGATATTACTTTCCTCTTTTTGTGTTTACAAGCTAGTTAATTACAACTCACCCAAAAGAAAGACTTATATTTTAAAAAATTAAAATTTAAACTATGTAGTAAATCTTTTAAAATGCTAAATACACTTGGGTGGCAAACCCGTGAAACTTGTACCCTATGTTGTGCCCATTCAGATTGGCCATTGGTCTTTTTGGGGGGGTTTCATGCACCCTCGGAGTCCTTCTGAACAGAGAGGTGATCCAGGTAATCTCTACTATTCAAGTGGGGTTGACAGGAGAGTTAAAATAGATTTTTCATTCCTGTAAGAAATTCATCAAAGTTCTGGAAAACTTCATGAAGGAGAGAGAATTTTAGCAAGGTTTAGTTTTTTAGGAGGCTAGCTTTAAAACAAAATAACCTTCTCAGCAGGAGAGTCGGTTTGAGTGGAAAGGTGGAGGTCTCCTGAATATCGTTAAGTTTCAAAAAAAAGCCAGCCAGAAATAGTCCTGGTCATGGAATAGGGTGACAGAGACACAGGACAAGACTAGGTAAGGAGAGACTAGGCAAGGAAAGGCCTAAAGCCATCTAAATTCATCAGAACAAGCTAATATTCTCAATGTTGCCTGCTCTGTTCATGAGTCCTGTTCCCTTATGGTTTCCATGGTGCCGACGACCCAGAAAATACCTATAGTGCTCATCCTTTCAGGAAACAAAGGAAAGCAGCGCAGGATGACTCATGCCACTCAGGTATGCTCCATCTGGCCAGGAACTCACCAATCTCACTTGCCCCTGTGGGCAGCTGAGGCTGTCTCTTACTGGAGACAGGAGATCTTACTGGACTGGTTCTTGGCTCTGACTTTGTAGGTGAGCCCAGACAACTAGTCCCACACATGGGATCCAGGGCTACATGCTGGCAGCCAGAGGAACAAACTCCTTCAGGCCATCTTGCCTGTATTTCAGCCACTCAAGGGGCTTAGAGAGAGAAACTCTGGGACTCTGGACAGCTTGGGGAAGATGGAAATGCCCTGGGCTGGGAAGCCGGTGAAACAGCAATTGGTTACTTCATAGTTTTGACTGGGATTCTAAGCTTTGGGTTGAGTGTGAGACAGATTGTGAGCTGCACAAAGCAGGCCTGGTGGGTTGTATGTCTCATGTTATTCCCTCTCCCTCTTTTGGGATGTTCAGACTCTGGTTTTCCATTCTCTCCTGCATTATGTCTTCTCCTCCTCTCACCCTGATGGCACAGAATATCCACTAGGCCTTAACACGGAGAGGGGGCAGGGGGATGATGCTAAAAGAAACCCAGTCAGTACAGCACACAGACATAGTTCAGACATTCAGGGACTGTCCACTTGTCAGTCTGTTCATTACCTAGCGGTCCCTCTGGGTGACTCATTAACAGCTCTCACTAGATGAGTGGAAGGAAGTGGGAGGGTGAGTGGGGGGTGAGGCATTTCGGGGGCAGATGAGAGAAGGGAGGTGCCTGAGTGATGTGGGGCTGGAAGGGACCTCAATTGGGTCAGAGCAGTTACTGCAGCTGTTTTGCATTCCTCACTATCTCCAAGGTGTCCCTGCAGCTTCAGATCTCAGTGTGACCTCCAGCAGGTGTAGAAGTTAAGTTGGGTGTGGGGTGGTCTGCCCAGATCCCTCTCGAGAGACCTTCTCCTCCTTTTCCACTGCAAGGGTGCTTGTCAGGGCCCCAGTAAAGAGAGCAGCACGGAAGAGGTCGGGCAGGATGTGGTCATGTGGTTCTTAGGGTGCTCAGGAGGGGGGTGGGGGAGGAACTTTCACAGGCACCCAGAGGCAGGATCTGGTAAATACCAAACCACATCCTGTTGTGAGTCCCTGAGATGGCACTGCACTAAGGGCAGGTGGGTGGCTGTTATTCTCTATGCTGATGTTACTCAGAGATAAGCAGCCCAGCACCCTGCACTGGGCTCAGACACCCCATCCCTTCCCTGGCTGTCCCCTGAGGAAGTCCAACGTGCAGCTCCTTACTTCTTGGCCTTTGATTCAAGGCCATTCTCCTTTAAACATGGTTTTTGTCTACTCATCCATGGCCCTGGATCTCTTTTCTAGCTGTGGGATCTGGGGTCCGCACTGTCCCCTTACACCATTGCCACTCTTTGAGGCTGTGAATGATTTGTACATCCCTTCCCTGGCTGTCCCCTGAAGAAGTCCAACATGCAGCTCCTTACTTCTTGGCCTTTGATTCAAGGCCATTCTCCTTTAAACATGGTTTTTGTCTACTCATCCATGGCCCTGGATCTCTTTTCTAGCTGTGGGATCTGGGGTCCGCACTGTCCCCTTACACCATTGCCACTCTTTGAGGCTGTGAATGATTTGTCTTGGGCAAGAGCTTAGAGTCCCAGTTGAGTGGCCTCCCTTATGCGGCTTTAAGACCTGCAGATGTTGGATCACTGAATCTGAAGAGCAGAGCTAGACAATTCCTTAGAGATCACTTTGCCCACCTCCTCACTTTACAGAGGGGCTCTAGAAGCCCAGAGAAGAAAAGTGAACTGTCCAGGGCCATGCAGCTGAGGACCAGAAACTGTTCTCTGAGTTTCAGCAGCTCCTGTGTCTCAGACAACACTTAGGGAACGTGGGCTTTATGTTGAGCTGAGATCTTCCTAAGAATTTTAGGGACTACTTGTATAAGAATAAATAAGTCATGGCAATCATATATGAGGAGGCATGAGGCTGGAGGGGTAAATATGATGAACCACAGAATCAGAATCCTGTAGAAATGAGATAGGTTGGAGAGATGAGCTGAAGAAATATGATAAAATTAAACAAGCCCTCCCCACCCCAGCCACCCTCCAAAAGAGAGAAAACTAACCTTTTAAACATCGGAAGGGGACCATGTTGCTCATGTACTGAACACATTGCAGTGCATGTAAAAATGATCAGGGTTGGAGTGAAAAGTGAGCTCTGTGAGTCAATGGGGTGATCTGAGTACAGATGTGGAAAAGCTGCCCTACTATGGACCCAATGTAGAAGATATTGAGGATAAGGAGGTTAAGCTCCTTCTTGTCCTCTGTAGGTCAGAGTCTCCTGTCTGGACATCGTACTTTTAGTAAATGTTTTCAGAATAGAGTGGCTGGGCTGTGGAAGCTGGGAGTTCTCAAAACCATGCCATATGGAACAAAAAGTGAGAGAACTGGACAAGTTTGGCTTGAAAATAATCTTTAGGCTAATACTAATTGTTATAATAGCAGCAGATGTTTATTGATGCTGTGATAACAGCTTTATGTGTTGTGTGGATTAAATAAGATCAAATCACCTTATGTGATGTTGAGGTTGTGATTGAGCCCATTTTGTAGGAAGGAAGACTGAGTTTCTTGCCCCAGGTCACTGGCTGCAGGCCACGTAGCTAATAAGTGGTGGATCTAAGATTTAAGCCTAGGCTTCTTTGGCTTTAAATATATATATATATATTTAATTTTTGAATGCTACAATTCCATTTATTTGTTGTAAATATTGTTGAAATTCAAATTTTTCTAACTTACTTGGAAAATAATATAGTAGGGCCAATTTGATTTCTTTTACATAGTTTCAAACATAAAGACATAATTACAATTAAAAGACCAGTGTAGAATCCAATCAGACCACAATGCCACTTATGTAAGCCTGATTACATCTCTTTCTCTTCCTTTATAGGATTACAGGGAAATATATGATTTTATTTTAATTGATAGTAATGCCAACATGCATTTTGTTAGCTTTCTTTAAGATTTACAAATTTGCTTTATATTATTATGCACAACACTATCATAGGTTTATCTTAAAAGATATCTGGCATAGTTCAGGCTATTATTTGGAAATCTAATGGCCTACTCTAATTTTACTCATTAGTGAATTGTTTTCATTCTTAGAAATGAGTCTTTGATAAAGTTCATATTCTTTATATAGTGTTCGCACCTATCTACTGCCTGCTTTTTCCATTCTGCAAACTCAAGCTTTTGAAGCTTCTGCTGATTCTGTCTCTCATAGATTTGTGGACGCTTGGCTGGAGGTGTCTTAGGAAGGGCTCTCATAGGAGTAACATTGTGACCAATGAGGGCCACTACAAAGAGTTTTATGGACACCCAATTAGGGCAAAATTCCTCATAGTGATGAAATAAATGGCTTACCCAGGCAAGTCAAGAGTTTTCTGTCCAAGGGCAAGTTGAGCATAACTGGGGAGGGATTCAAGACAGAAATTTATGTGAGTTTTTTTACCACCCAAGATCCAGTTAAGATCAAGTCCCACCATGGTAGTGAGGGTGCAGAGGACCGAGGTGTAATTGCTGGACTGGCCTCGTCCTGATCAGAAGGGGTCATGAGACCTCCCTTAAAGCTATAAGTGCAAAACAACAACAACAACAACTATATATAGTCAGTGAGTCTGGCCAGGATGCTGTAGGGGGTCAACAGGAAGCCCTGGAATGCAGTCTTCCTATCAAGATCACTTCTCATACTCACAGAGGAGAGATAAGTTAGAGCAGGCTGATGAAACTTCTGT